AACTCTTGAACGCAAGCGTACTGAAGTAGGGGAGAGGGTTCAACCTAAATACAAGGGTACTTATGATATTTATAAACTAAACTGAAAATTTAAAAATTCCTCAACAGACTAGAAACATTGATCGAGGGGATACACCTCACTACTTTTTTGAATTGCATTTAGTCCAGCTCACTGATGATCTGAGGTAGTTCCTTGTACGAATTGAGATTTAATGAATTGCTCGAATATTATACCCAGTTTATAAAAAGGCAGTCTCAAGATTCCAGCCAATCTCTGATTGGATTGTGTAGCAGCTCTAGCTTCCATGATTATGTAGCAAAGTGTAAAGTATGTAGATACATGGCAACAGCAGTATCCCCAACATTTGGGAGAGGGGTTTGCTGTGCTCATTGGACTTAGCACCTGCTATAATCCTCACGTTTTTGTATTTTGATTGCATGTACAACGTGACATGATCCTCCCAAGTCTAACACTCTATATCAGTTGCGAGTGAAATATCCGGAATATGCACTTCTTGGGCAACGATACCTGTAAATGTTCCAACATAAATGACTGTGTTGAAAGGTTTTTGCATTAAAAGTCTACCCGAGCCTTACATTTGAGAGCACCATTAATTTTTATGACAGGAAGGGAAACAATTTCGTTTTAAGTATTATTATATTATATTAATATTCATTGACAGAATGGCCTGGCTGAGTTGTGTCTCTACTAAGTTTCAGACAGTTTGCCACTTTCTACTTTTTCGTGTCTACAGCGTTTCCAATGAGCACAGTTGTGTCCTCATGTGATCAAACTAAGGCAAAACACACGCAATTTATTGGTGATAAGTAATAGAAGATGTCATTCAAATATATAACGAATAGGAAAGGCCCTAAAATAGAGCCTTGTGGTACACCATGTTCTGTCGATATATACTTTGATCCTTCGCCATCCACAGATACTGTTTGACAACGATTTAGCAAATAAGAATCGAATAAAGTTTACGAATACCGTAAAATTCTTTTTTAGCAGGATGGAAGTACGACATCAACGTTTCAACGGATGTGTACAACGAGAACAATCGTTAGCTATCCAATTATATCAAGCAACTAGCCAAAAACCTAATTTGTTCTAGAAAATGTTATACAGACCGATTATACTCTGATTATCTAACGTTTGAAGGTATTTCGTCTAGAGAGATCAAATATATGTACTGGGTATCCCTTATATCAAATGTCATAGATGGAGAAATCAATTTTTCGGGTGGGTGTATTTGAAAATCTATGATTATTATTCTAAGTGGCCTACAGGAACAAGGACAAAAAAGGGTTTAAAGAGTTGACCGCATATATTTTCAATTTGCTGCAGTCGCTATGTTACAAGACAGCTCGCAAAAGATGACTGTTAAGCTCAAAAGTTTAGTGGCAATTGCAAATTTTCTGAAAATATTGAGCATATTTGATGAAATATTTCTGAAAGTTGACTACTTGCTGACAAATGATTTAAATTTTGGCTATTATTTTGATGGTTCTGTTGCGCACAATTTGCTTAATAAATATTTAATTGGTGATTTCTTGGAACAAAATAATAAGGGGAAAGTGTTTTCATACTCTGCAACTCCTATAGCAGTTCTACCAATACTCCACGGTCCTTATCCAGCAGCATTTTTATTTCCCATGCGTGGTGGCGAGGAAATATTATAATCGCGGAAAATTAGATACTATGTTTTTTGAACGTTGTGTCGATCGGTCTGTCGATCTGTCCGCAAATCCTTAGCTTTAGACTGTATCTTGCGAAGTACTGCTCCGATTAGGATAAATTTTGCACACAAGGTTCTTATTATGGCAAGTACGGAAAAACGTTGTGGCTTTTGAAAATCGATCCAGTGTCAGCGGAGGTACGGGCAAAAGACAAAAAAAGGAAACATCGTTCCAGCTCCGTTCTTCGACATCTCGGAGGCTCCTGATCATTTTTTGAAAAATTTTGTAGGGCTAAAAATTAGGCGTTGGGGTTTTAGGTCTATGCACCCATTAGTAAGTATATCATATCTCATTATATCTTACAGATCCGTGTATCTGCTCTTAAAACTTACAGAAATAGCAGACGGACATGTTGTGACTATATCGCACTTGCTGTACGTTGCAAGCTGATGCCAGCGGCCACAAAACACTCTCTGGCCACCTATTCTTGCACCGCCACACCGGTTCGGATTTCCAGCATAGCATGGCTAACGTTGTTAGAAAAAGATTCTAGATCAGCGTTACCAAATGGGTAGGTTTGTGGACTCATTGTATGGGCCTGCTTGGCTTACTTGATCTGACTAATTTTTTTTTGTGTTTTACATGTTCATAGTACGTGAGCGTTGAACTGTCACGCTGCAAAAAGCGCAACCAGTCCTTACGAGCGTCATTCAATACAAAGCGCTACAACACGAGCGTCAATGGTGTGGAACAGTGGTCGCCAACGTTTACAGTGTGTTGAGCTACTTTGATACTTTTGGAATAAACAGTGAGCTACCTAGTCGTAAGCTTATATGAAATTACGCACAGTTGTATGCGATATACATATGTTTATATATTAACTAATTATAACTAATACCTACTACATAGCTGCATCCATTCCTACCAATCGTAGGTGTTCGTCAGCTACAATCGCATGTCACATACGATTCGATAAAGGTAACTATAAATAAAAAAAGCAAAGCACTATTTTGAACATTTTTTTTTTGTGCCATAGCCCGAGCTACGGCGTGTGTGGGACTCCAGGTTGTCTTGAGGAGACCACCTAATACCCACTAAACCCTAACCTCCGCGTGGCCCGACTCATCAGCGTCTCGGTAGGCCATGTGTTGTGCGTGACCTGCGGTCTGCTACAACGTCTCCTCATGTGTTTCAGTCTCTGGGAACGCCGGGTTGGTTCCCTTTACCTCGCACAGTTCTATCGATGTCGTTAAGCGAGCATCGATATAGGTTTGCTATGTTCTCTTGAAACTCTTGTTTTCGAAAAATCAAGAGTTTCAAGTCCTCTACTACCAGTATGTTACCTGGTCCTGATGGGTTCTGGTCCTGGTTGGTCCTGGTCCTGGTGGTTCCTGGTCCTGATGGGATCTGGTCGTGGCCGTCCTGGTCCTCGGCCTCTGCTTCCACGCCGAGGGGGGGGGGGATCAACCGCGGGTTCTCCTAGTCTCCTAGTCAAGGTTCCAGTTAGCGGGTGCCAACTGGGACCTTGGTCTAGGGTACCTGGCTCTGCGGTTGCGAGGCCTATCGTCCGGATCGTAGTCCATGAGGAGTCATAGCTGCTCGTTCGGGTGGTCCTCAGCTTACTGGAAGGTCTTCTCCGCTTCTTCAGCATCCTGTTGTTGATGCCGTACCTTCCCGGCGCCTGTCTGACCTCCAACCTGCGGATGATCAGACGGATTTCCTCTAGACTGTCGTCTGTCGTCCTCGTCTTCATGGTAATTGAGTCTGCATTCGGATTGTAGCGAATCGGCGAATGCTTCGGCTTTTTCTTCACTGGAGTAGGCCAAGCCGCGTTGGCCGTGAAGAGTGGGGATTGTGGTGCGCTGACGACGAAATTTTCGCTGCATATTCCAGGCCGTACCATCCTGGGTCTCTAGTTCAGCACAGGCTGCATTCCATCTGCTGTTTTGGAGTTTCGCGAGTGCGTTCTTCAGAGCTAGCGATGCTCTGTTTCGCGCAACTCTTGACTCCTCTGTCAACAGCTGGAGATGTTCTCGCTTGAGTCTTCTGTTCTCCCTGATCAGGTGCCTAATATGGAGCGGTGCTGGACCAGTTAGGTGTCTAGGAACTGCCGTAGTCTCGGAGTGGGTGCTGTCCTCATGCGCTCGTAGGACAGCACTCTCCAGCTCCTCTACTGCGTTGTCCAGTTCCTCCGCTGATCGGACGGTTGGAATTTGAGTGATATTCCTTTGGACGTTGGATTTGTAGTAGTTCCAGTTCGTTCGTTTGGTGCTCAAGCTATCTCGAGTTGTAGACCCTGTGCCAAGTGTTAGTAGGATCGGATTGTGGTTCGACGATCCTTCCACCAGGGTCTCTATCTCGAACTCCTCTCTGATGTTGCGGAGGATGGCTATGTCCAGTACCGCAGGTCGCCCAAGGCCGAATGGAATGAAGGTTGGTTGCTCCGGACCGACGATGACCCCCGCCAGGGCATCGAAGTGTTCTTGGAGCTGCCTTGCATTCCTGTCTTCGACGTTGTTGTTCCATGCCGGAGACTTGCAGTTTAGATCTCCGATGACTATGCGTGCTCCTGGGCCTCCCAGGAGGTCAGCGATGTCATCTTCGTCTAGGGCCTCCCCTGGTGGCTTATACAGGGAGGTGATTCTGTAGGGACGGTGGTTGTGATGGACCTGGACCGTGATTCCGTCCCCATTGATGTCTGCGGCGTCGTCGAGGGCATGACTCGTCAGGTTACGTTTGACGGGTAGTGCGACTCCTCCACCTCTGCCTCTTCTGTCGTAGCGGTACGTCTCGTACCGCGGGAACGTCAGACTATGGGCAGCGTCCAATTTCGTTTCTTGGATGGCCATCACCTCTGGTTGGTACTGGTCTAGTATCTCCTGGATTTGTGGTTTCCGTGCCCTGAATCCGTTGATGTTCCAGGAGATTATGCATAGAGATTCCACGTTTTGCCCTGTAGTTATTGCTGGTCCAATGCCTGTCTTGCATCTTGGCCTCGAGTGCATCCAGGCGGGTTATGATGGCTTGTATCATAGCTAGCAGTCTGTCATCGCCGTGTTGCTTCTGCGCAGTAGTTCCAGTAGCAGTGGCGGCTGCTGGGGCAGAAGTGGACTTCGTTTTCTTCGCTTTATCGGCGTAAGAGGTCATATTTGAGGTGGAGGCTGCTTTGGGGGCAGCAGCAGCTTTCCTCAAGGCCTTACTACATCCTTTGTAGTTTGCTGGGTATCCTTTTCCGCAAAGGCAGCACTTGGCATTTCGTTGCCCTGTAGGTGACGTCGGCAGACTGCAGTTGGTGGTGCTGTGGTCCTCACCACGCTTGACTCACCGTTCAGCGAGACGACAGTTTCGCTGCGTGTGTCCGTACCGCTGGCAGCGGTAGCATTGGCTGGGCTCGGTCGATCTTTTTTTCTTCTCGAAGCTGACCGTGAGCATGGCCAGCTTCTGGACCCCCTGCAGCTTTTCCGCCATCCCCGTTTTCACGAGGAAGAGCGGTAGCGGCTGATTGGTGTTCCTGGTCTTCATCTGTTGAACCTCGGCGCCTGCGATACCTTGGCTCACTAGATCCTCTTTGATGCTATCAATTGACATCTCCCTGGGGAGTCCTCGAATTACCCTCTGGTCCATCCTTTCCTCCTTCAGTTGGTAAGTGAACAAAAACATGTCCAGATAAAAAATGCATGTTCAATGAGAAGCCTGACCACTCAGACTGACTGAAAATTTTTTAATGTTTGGAGTATAATTTGATACCGCCATTCAAATTTAATTATCCAAATGTTCATCTGTAGGCCTATTACGGTATCTGTTTTTAATAAACCTGATATTTAAAAAAGAAGATTTACACAAATATGTTGAACCAAATAACGCTTTCACTTTCAAGGCAACACGACATAAAACTGAATATTTATCTATACTTACTGAAGGCCAGATACATTTTGTATTTGAAACTAATGATTTTAAATATAAATCATTTTGAAACGCAATCACTTCCATTTTTGTCGCAGCGATGTCTTCGCTAAAATTCTACGTAACAGAGGTTGCAAACTGTTGGATATCAATTTCCATGAAGGGTGAAACAACAAATTACGCCACTATACCAGTTTCCTTGAAATCCTTGGAACGATTTTTGAGGTTATCCTTCAAGTTAGAGACTATTTAAAAATGATATTTACTGTCTTATGGTTCTAATGGACTTTTAGATATCTTTTCCGAACGAACAGGAAAATGCCTAGTATCGATTAAGTTTTGCTCCCAAGACGCAAGCTGTTATATCAGAAATGATTTCCGCTAGTTCTTCGTCTCTCCCCTGAAGCTACATATTAAGTCCATTTAATTTTTCTGTAATATCCACAAGAGAACCAAAATCGCTAAGCTAGATTAGTTTTTCCAGTTCCGGAATCGGTTCATCACCTTGTTTGAAAAATCGAACTATGGCAGATATGATATCATTAAAACGTTTCAGCACTCGTCCCCTACTTAACCATCGGACTTCAGAGTGAAGAAGTAGTTCCCCGTATTGACAGGTTTTGAATAATCTTCTTTGTAACGCTTGAGCTCTAATCTTGTTCACAATTTTTACTACCAATTTTATAACGTTGTTTAGTTTTAGAAGAGGTCCGCATAATGCTTGCTGATGGATAATGCAGTGGCAACAGAGAAATTGCGAAAAACTTTTACCTTCACGACATAACCCCACGAGACCCTGATCACGATCCACTATAGCTGGAGCTCCATCAATTTTCGATATTTGAATTCAATATAATAATAATACTTTTAAAAGAAGAAACCATGTCCTGCCCAGTAGTCTGACCTTTTAGTGGAATAAACTTCAAAATATCTTTTTAATCGTAAAATTACTAAAAACCGTCCTGACGAGCACGGCCATCTGAGAGGTGTCAACGACATCTGTGGATTCATCCAGCTGCAGTGAAAAATAAGCATGGTTATCGAAGTCATTTCTTAACTGTAAAACTATATCATTGATCATTACTTCTACTCGTCTCATCACTGTATTAGCAGAAAGTTGCATAGATTTTATAGCAGACACTACCTCGTATTTATTTTTAAAGTTGGCAAATAATGAATCTGCAGCTTCTAAAAACGCCTGTCTTATCATTTCCCCGTCTGCATAAGGTTTCTTCTTTTGTGTAATTATCTCGGGTACCCGGTATGATGCTTCAGTTGCAGCCTTACTTTTGTCGACTGTTTTTAAAAACATTTTATGTTGTCCAATTAACTGATTTTTTAATTGTTTCAGTTTTTCCGCTCTGGTTGCAGAACATTATGGGAATGATTTTTCAAAATGTATAATGTTATAGTGCCTCTCGATATTCCCTTTTTTAGCAACGGAAACAGATGTGTAACATAACAAACATACATTTTTACCTTTAGCTTCAGTAAAGAAATATTGTTCTTCCCATTCCGAACGTAAATGGTACGTCTTCATCTTCTTACTACTGCTCATAATGTTTTTAGTCGCAGGCCAACTCTAACTCAACCGCTGGACTTTGTGCCGTTCAGTTTTAAGCTGAGTGCACTGTCGCGGCGCCTTGTGTATGATTTTTACACCTAAGATATGTTGTGAGCTACCGGAATTGCCTTCGCAATCGACGGGCTGCCGACCATTGCTGTGGAGGATTATCTTGATCATTTCTTTGCTGCGAGACTTTTTAATGCCCGCTTGTACCGATAACTAGTTTGCTCTGCACGGGTATTACGTATCTTGAAAAGCTCGTTTTTTGACATTGTATAGGTTTTCTGTGGCATTACGGTTCTTCTACATCCTACAAGACGTCAACTTGGCACTTTTGTATACGTATTGTGTACTCGTTTTGTAGCTGTACGTATTGCCTAATCGTCATGATGCTTCAGCTATCAATGTTTGGCTCTGATGTGATGTAATATCTGCTTCAAATTGGAGGTCTGAGCTGTGTGTTGTATTACTATATCAGGAAGGAAACGGCATAGGTGCCTAGTGAGGGTTTGTGTGTTAATCATCTGTGTTGATGATAATTCCATTTGTTTTTTGTCTCAATAAACTTACTTGAGATGTATTCTAAGCAATAAAATTGTTACGCTTCCATTTTTTCTTATTCATTCTGGAAATTGCATATGCAAATTTGCTACATTTCAAAAATGAGAGAGATAAGAAAAGGAAAACCCTGGTTGGTGAAGTATACTACAAGTAATAGGAGAGAAAATAGGCTACCAAAATTAATGTTTGAGGAACGTGAAAAGATTTTTTTATTTTCAAACATTTAAATTTTATAGAAATTTGTTTTGCGCTGTCAAGTGGAAAATTCAAATCAGCGCCTAGATGTGGGGCTCACTAACTTTTCTGTGATGTGGCTGAACTACACGCAACGCGTGCGCGGTGCTGATTTCCCGTAATGCTCCTTAAAGTTTTTGAAAACACAAAAAACCGGAAAAATCCTAATTTATAACCTTGAGCATAGCCTGGCAGTATATTCAGCAATAATATTTTCTCATAGCAAATATCACTGATTTTATACAGATGAAGATCAATACACGTAATCATCCAGACGCGATCTTGCTACTGAACCAACTTTCTTTCTGTCACATCTTCTCAGACATAAACACTGCAGACTATCCGGATAAATATGCTCGGAATCCCAGGCATACTAGATGGGGGTCCTTTAGGGCAGACATTGACAGTAAGCTTGGAGCGGTCCCATACAGGCTTGGCAGGGGCTCTGACATAGAAGCAGCTGTCGAGTCTCTGAGCAGGGACTTGACGGCCGCATATGAGGAAAACTGCCCGTTACGCAAAGTACAAGGTAAGGGCAAGGCAACCTTCTGGACCAAAGATTTAGAGGATAGAAAACGAGCGGTGCACAAACTTCTTAGCAGAGTTAAGCACAGGAGAGGTTCTCCTCTATGGGAAGAATACAAAAAGGCATTGCAGGAGTACAAAAAGGAGATTAGAAGGGCCTCCAGAGAATCCTGGAGGCACTTCTGTCAGTCCATAAATGACATTCCTGCTACTGCAAGAATACACAGAGTCCTATGCAAAGACACTAAAGCAAGATTGGGATCTCTGCATGATCCCTCGGGAGGGAACACTACTTCCGAGGAAGATACTCTGAGGCTTCTGATGGATACGCACTTTCCCGGTTCCACAGTAGCGCGATCAATCACAGAGTGCATGCAGTTGCGCAGGCCCTCAAGGGAGGACTGGCGCACGGCAAGGGAGATTGTCACCTTCGAAAGGACGGTATGGGCAGTAGATTCGTTTGCCCCATACAAAAGTCCAGGTCTGGACGGCGTATTTCCGGCCATGTTACAGCAGGGACGGATTTCGGTTGTTCCTTACCTGTTGAATGTGTTTCGAGCATGTGTGGCCACGGGCTTCACACCTAGAAGTTGGCGGCAGGCTAAAGTGGTATTCATTCCTAAACCGGGCAGAGATAGATATACTGGCCCGAAGGATTTTCGACCGATTACTCTTTCATCTTTTGTGCTTAAGACCCTGGAAAGGATAGTTGATAGATACCTAAGGGATGGCCCACTGGAAAGGTGTGTCATTCATGCAAATCAGTTTGCATACCAAGCTGGAAAATCGACTGATCTGGCCTTACACAATCTGGTTGGGAGGCTGGAGAAGACTCTAGATCAGCGAGAAGTGGCACTCGTGGCCTTCTTAGATATTGAAGGTGCATTTAATTGCACCACAACCGACTCTATCAGACAGGCCTTGGTTAGACACGGGGTTGGATCAATCCTAATAGATTGGGTCCTCTCTACTCTGGAGGGTCGGGTAACAACAGCTATGCTGAATAACGTAAGCTGCAGCGTGAACGTAGCTAGAGGCTGCCCTCAGGGTGGAGTTCTGTCACCCCTACTGTGGTGTATCGTGGTGAACGAACTGCTCGTTAGGCTCAACAGTATGGGTGTCTACGTGCAAGCCTATGCTGATGACGTAAGCATAGTGGTTAGGGGGCGTTTCTGTAGAACAGTCTCGGAAATTATGCAGGGCGCTCTGCGCTCCGTGGAATCGTGGTGTAGGGAAGTCGATCTTTCTGTTAATGCTGAAAAGACCGAGCTGATCCTATTCACTAGGAGAAGAAGGCTTGACGGACTGGTCATGCCTACCTTCTTTGGGACTAGATTAGTTTTGTCCCAGTCAGTGAAATATCTGGGAATTATCCTGGACTGCAAACTGAACTGGAGAGAGCATGTGGAACACAAGGTTAGCAAGGCTCGCAATTCGATGTGGGCTTGTAGACGTGTTGTCGGTGTAAGGTGGGGGCTTAAACCCAAAGTGGTATACTGGCTCTACACGACGATAGTACGTCCATCTCTCTTGTACGGCTCCCTGGTCTGGTGGCCTTGCATTAGAACTGAGTCAACTAAGGCCAAACTCAATAAAATTCAGCGTTTGGCCTGTATTAGCATTACAAGCGCAGTGCGAACAACGCCATTGAGTGCAATGGAAGCTCTGTTGGATCTCCCACCGTTGGATCTGGTGATCCGCGGTGAAGCAAGAGTAGTCGCTCATCGACTGTGGAGTCAGGGCAGCTGGGCTTTCTTGAATCCGGTCAAGGGGCATACTGCCATATTAGTCGAATTAGATAGGGAGGACCCCGTCCTTCTAAGCAGGGGTGATCGTATTACCCCTAAATATCGCTTCAACCGCAAGTTCATTGTGGAGTACCCAACGAGGGAGGAGTGGGACGCCGGTAGCCGAGGACTCTCCGAAGTGAGCGGGCAGGTCTGGTACACGGACGGCTCGGTCACCGAAGAGGGCTCAGGTGCTGGGGTCTCTGGACCTAGAACTAGGCTATCTCTGCCTCTCGGTGAGTACACCACCATTTTCCAGGCGGAAATCTTTGCGATTCTGGCTTGTGTATCTCACATTCTGGAGGAGGGTGGGCCTAGGAGAAGAATAACAATCTTATCCGACAGCCAGGCTGCAATGAAAGCACTAAGTGCATGTAAGATTACTTCGAGTCTTGTATTGCAATGCAGGGAGGCTCTGGATTGCCTCGCAGCGAGGCATCCGGTATCGTTAATATGGGTACCGGGGCACGCTGGGATAAGGGGCAATGAGACGGCGGACACTCTGGCGAAAACAGGATCAGCCAGCAAGCTCGTTGGTCCTGAGCCAGCTCTAGGAGTAACCGCGCATAAAGCTAGGAGGAAAATGGAGACGTGGGTTGCAAGACAACACTCTCAGAAATGGAGAAGTATCTCTAGACATCTCCGCCAGGCACGAGAGCTCATTGAAGGGCCCAGTGCTAAGGATGGACGCTTCTGCCTATCTCTGGGTAGAGCCAACCTAAGGTTGCTGGTGGGACTGTTGTCTGGCCATAACACGTTAAGGCGGCACCTGCACGTGATGGGGGTGGCTGAGGATCCCTTATGCGAACGCTGCGGAGTAGAGGAAGAGACCTCGGCGCACGTTTTGTGTCGCTGTGAAGCTCTGAGCTACTATAGGCAGACTATACTGGGGTCCATTACTTTGGACCCTCAGGACGTAAAGGAGCTTGGACTCAAGGCGATTCTCAACTTCGCTAAAAGGGCGAGGCTTGTGATTTAAGTATTGTAGAGGTGCATAAGGGCCCGCTTAAGCGGCCTATGCACTGGCTCCTTATGGTGGCCGGGATGCCTCTAAAATTCAAGATTCATTCATTCATCCCAGCTTTCTGCAGCCCAACAATGCATGCTGGGAAACAGACTTGAGGGTATCGTGTCGTTGAGTCATTCCTCCATAGATGGACGCTTTAGATGACGCTCACACCGGCCATAGCGAGCAAACATAAAGAAAACTAGTACACTGACAACCACCTAGTCTGGAAGTTGACATTTTGTCTTTTTTTTTTTAGGTTTTTCACATAATACCCCATCCGTTCTGTTGTGAAATCAGTCCAATACAAGTTTTTTCCTAAATTCCTCTGGCGAGTATTGCGTTTAGCAGTGACGATAACAGAAATTTTATGGATACCACAGAGTCACAGCCTTTCATCAATAATTAAACAAATCTGGAATTGAACACGGCATAGCTGCCACCGTTTTGGATCGACAAAAATGCTCGGCTGCTCATTAGTATGATATTTACATAGTATTAACTCCGTATAAATTTCCATGTTGTTAACTGCTGTATTTGCGACTGATTTTCATGAAAATTCATTAGTCGCAAGGAAAACCCGATCCCGTTTGGATAATAGAGGATTGCTTTGTCTTCCTGGAAATTTGAAAATCAACGATGTTTGTGTCTAGGGATAATTGAAACAATGAACGGTTTGCTTTTACCATAATGAAACAGTGAGAAAATGCAAACTTGCTTAACATTTTTCCCAGGAGCTTTGATGTGTCTAAGTGGCGTTCTGGTAGGCCCAGAGTTAGTACTGGGAGTGCAAAAGTGAGTTTGAAAAGCGGGTCAACACTAACCACCTTTTATACAGTGCTTTTCGAAAAGCTCCCCCTCTATTTATTTTCCGAACGGATCAAGTTAGCGAGCTGAAACTACGAGTGGTAAGACGATTGGAGGCCATACGATATCTGATTTTGACGCACCTTGTTAATACTTTGCGAATACTCTGTAACCACAGAGTATAAAATGAGTATATATCATGCTGGCGGACTGGAGCTTAGCCAGAGTTGAGCGATACTATAGATTGAATAGCTGATAACCCATTAACCAATAATTAGAGCACTTTAGTATGTCATATCTTTCATTTTTTCTTTGAAGGATCTATCCAACGTGTGATAAATATCTCGATACCTGTTAGTTTTTTGAACGGAATGTTCCATATTGAATATGAGAGACTTTGAAACGCACTGTATAACATGACATGACAATTTTATTAACCCATAACCAAAGACGGCCAATAAATTGAACATTACCACAGACGTGGCGTCACAATGACTCCTATAATGAAAGCCATGGAAAACATATTTGGAAAATAGAAACATGTTTACCTCTATCTTATATTACTTAAATAGTGTCTTTTTTAATATCGTTTTTAATATATAAAAATTCTTCAGCAAAAAGCAACGAAATTTTAAAGAAATATGTTTATTGTACACAATTTTACGTGAATTTTTACAATAACATTTTTGGTAACTTTTTAACTTAAAAAAATTAAGTTGCTAAGTACTTTTCATACAAAACTCGTTAAAAACATAAAAGAGAATACTTATAACGATCAGAAATTAACGTGAAGGTAATATTCTGGAAACGTGCAGTAGGTTTTCGAAGTAATTTTTTCATTTTGCACAGTCCACGCAAACCATTTGAAACGGTTTTTTTCCATAGAAATACTTTCCTCTAGAAACGCGGTTCGATGTCTCATCTTCTTCAGTAGAAAGTATTTCGCAATCTCTATCCATTCTTGTTCCGAACGCTCTCATTATCACTGTAAATGAATTCGGCATCTTAATCAATACCACTGCCGTTTTCATTTTCCTCATCCACCTCAGCAGCCCATTTCAGCAAAGTTTCTTCGTAGTCCGAATCGCCATATCTAACTATTTTTGAGGGTCCCGCTTTGCTATCAAAATCCATCCTAAAAACCTAAACTAAGCCGAGCATGTTCATGAAATACAGAAATGAGAATATAACATTATCACAGACCTGTAGTCGTTTTGACTCCATCGGAAATTCAAGTCGTAATGAAATGTAAATAACGTACACAATCAACGCAACTATCTCAGTGCTAGTTCAATACTACTCGATGAAAAGGTACCTCTATGCCTGGACAGATAGACTGAGGAGAAAACGAGAAATCCCCTCCACATACTAGCAAGGAGTCAAATTGACTCCGCGTCTGTGGCTACGGGTTAAGGGTCGAGTTTAGCCTTCGTTACTTTGCCACTAACCTTCCAAAAACATATTTACAACATTATTATACTCAAAATAAAAGAAACAAGGATACACAAATTTCAACATGAAAAATGCTTTGACGAATTCGTGTAAAGTCACAATTATCCAATATTAAAGTACATTCAGATTTAGTATATGATAAAAGAGAGATAAACTTATGTAAATAAGTTTTTTAAGGGATTTCTTGAAATCGATTAAGAGTAGGAAGTAGTGTATAACATGACAGCAGTAAAATAAAAACTTTTACGGAATAATTGAACTCTGTGAACAGGTACGATAAAGTTTCAGAACCCAAATTTGCTAATGCGCTTTGGATCAAACCTTTCTTCGGTGTTGAAACAAATATTTGTATTAGATGTAGCTTTTTAAATGAACTTCATAAGTCACTTGCTTTCCCAAAACTAAACGCACTATGAATTTAAGTACTGAAGAGCTAGTGATAACGCAGTATAACGCACTGAATTTTGATTGGATTGATTATTACCCATTTACCATTGCTTAGGTACAGTTTTCCCAAGTCTGACTAAAACTATTAGCAATATATCAATTCAACAGGCACTTATACATATACTCACTACACGCATACGTTTGCTGACTGTTTGAAGAGGACTGATCAGATGAGTTTACCTCAAAACGTGGAAAATGGTAACTCACACCATTCCTTTTCATCATTTTAGATGTAAATGAAGACAGTCCTCCCGAACCTGCACCTCCAGAAGTACCTCCAAGAGGTCCATCTCTACATGCGGCAACATTGCGCCGTCGGACAGAGTATGCTATACCACCAGGTGATGGGAACAATGGGAAGCAAGAGTCACATTTCATGGGACAAACAGGTAAGGCTTCATTTCAGCCCTGCAGTAGTACTACAATTTGTTCCTTGACATAAGTAATGCTTTGGACAAATATGGAACCTAAGTTCATCCATTTGGTGCTAAAAAATGAGGTAGCCTGAGAAATTCTGGAGAAGGTCGAAAATGTTGGTACCCTTATGCTGCTCCCTACTCTTTCCATATTGTAACCTTTTTTTTTTGGATGCCATATAAGAAAGATTGTCCGGAAGACTATGCCAGTATAAAGGGTACCTTGCAGTGATCGATTTCTCAAAAAGTTCCTTAAACATACTCTGACATAGACCTCATAATTCTTGAAATACCAATACAAGGAATTTTTTCACATAAGCAATGACCGGTAAGGAAATTAATTTTCAGTCATCGCTGACATTGAAAAGTCCATTGAGTTTTCTTTGTAGAGCTAATAAAAATATGATTTATTTAAGTAAAACCAAGAAGATAGAAATTCTAATATTGATTAGATTATTTGATTAGTGTATTTGATACCCCAAGGAAACAAGAGAAGAGTTAAAAACAAAGAAAACGATAAAATCTAGTTGTTAATTTAAACTTCAAAACTTCTTGGCAATATCCTAGATATTGCGGAAATGAGTTTAGAATATTTTGAAGAAGTCCACTTTCCTCGAAAATTCATTTTCTATTCGTTGTTTTAGATACATCATTTTTGAGGGCCCCTGCACAAATAACCGGCGGGTGTGAGGTCAGGAGGCCGAGGTGGCCATTCAAAGAATCTTCCAAATAATGTTTGATCAAAAATTTCGCGAACATGTCCAGCGTAATTCATCTGGTTGAAGCCATATTCTATCGTTGGGCACCCTATTACGAGTATTTACTAAATGAAAACAATATTGATATTTTTTATTGTTTGTGGTAATATAAGTTACTTACAAGGATAGGGAAATATTTCCGCCAAAGCTGAGATAACGTGATTGCTCAAAAGATGCAAATATTTTTTAGCGTTTAAATTTTTTTCTACGAAAGTCGGACCGATTATCTCTTGACCTATGATACCCGCCCAAACATTAATTTTTTGAGGATATTGATTAAAAGTTCCGATTAAAGAAAAACCTGACTCATCCGAAAACACTATCTCCTACAAAAATGTTCATTTATAGATGTATTACACATGTCTCACATAATTGTAAACGCCTGACAAAATAATCATCTGATAGGTATTGAACCAAGGTGACTCTGTAAGAATGGTATTTTTGTTTGTCTTTAAAATGCATTCCACGAACATGTGAAATATATTGTCATCTTCACCAAGTGTTCTAGTAGAAAGGTGGAGGTTTTCCGCTATGCTCACTACAATATTCTAAGCCTTATTTTCGTCAGCCGCTGTTTTAGGGCGGCCAGATCGTGGAACATCCTTTACGTGTCCTGTTATGTCAAATTTCCTCAAAACTTTTCCAACAGTAGACCTTGTTGTTAGATTCCATTGGAATGTTTGTCATTAAAAGTATCGCAAACTTCTTGCTATGTGCGTCGACGATCGCCATAACCCAAACTCATTAGAATTTATATTCTCTCGGTTTCAGTTAAATGAACGATTCTGAATAACTCTACTATCATAACTCAATGGACTTTTGAATGTCAGAAATGACAGGAAATTACTTTCGATACCGGTCATTGCTTAGGTGAAAAAATATTGTTTATATTGTTTAACCGCGAATATTTAAAAAAATATGAGGTCTACGTCAAAGTATGTTTGATAAATAGTATTCAAAATTTTTCACAGAATACAAATATCACATAAAGTGTATATCATGATATAAGAAAAACAAAAGTTGGTATCAGTTTCTGAAAAACTGTAGACTTGGCAACATTGCGGATATCATTAATGGATCCGCCGTGGCTTCGAACCTAAACCTACCAATTTTTAAAAAAATAGGTGAGTCATTCGTCAGATATTCGATGCGTTTGTGTTACAGTCTGTATGGTAATAACTGGTAGAGCAATTTGGCTATAGAATATTCAAAAAAAGCTTCCAATTGTGCCGGAAGGAAGTAACAACCTTTTTTTGATATAGCACTGGATACTATTATTTTTTTTTCATTCTACGCCAGGTTCCAAATTCATTTCTTGTATATTATACCCTAACTCCAACCAATTTATAACGATTTGCTCTCTTATTTTTGTGTTTGCAATCTAATTCTTAGCAGGATTCCTTTAGTGGGGAAACTACTCCTATAGGTTTTATTCCAGGTTTGAATAACAATTAGTGTACAGTAGTCCAAAACAAGAAAAAATTAAACTACCACGTCTGATCCGTTGTACTGTTAGGTATCGGAGAGGGGCAACGTTGCCAGATGGTACTACTGGTAGGGCGGTGAAAGAATGGCGATGGACCTATTGTCTGGTCCTATTTGTTATACATGTTCGTAGCTAACTTTTTTCTCACATGGTCTTGCTCAAACATGATGTTGCCGTTGCTCCGACCAAAGCCAGCCAACCATGACAGCGTGCTTTTTTAGCAACTCATCAGCATGGGCTAGGGCTGGAATCTGGAACAACGAATAAAAGCATAGTAAATATTCCCTATCCAGGATAAGCGGTCTATGGAACTGTCTTATTTCGATAAGGTCTAACTTGCGGCGAACATAATCCTTTATGAACTGATGCCGGCATTGCGTGGGAAGTACAGAGTCAACCTACTTGACGCCATTTTTTTCCTAAATGGCACTTTGAGAGGAAAGAGACAGGATATCAAAGTGAAAAGGCAAGAACAAGTAGAAAGCTACAAGTACATTTTCAAAACTTTACCAGGCAAAATTACCAAATAGTTGGATGGTATCGATTAATACGCTCTCCGGATTTCTTTTGAAGTTTTTTTTACATTGTTATGAAAAAGCACTAGCTACATTTTGTACCGGTTTATTTGCCCTCCATGTATGTTCTAATATTACCTGTATATCAGTGTCGATAACCTGACCTGACATCATAATGCTCCCCGATATAACGCTCTCGTTAAAAATAGGTAATCATCCAAATATAAAATAATTAATCCTCTCTCATTTTAATGGAGAACTTTGATCTGGAAGAATAAGAAATGGAGAATGAAGATAACGATCGACATCTTAACACACCTACGCCATGGAAGTTTTAACAAGCCGCAAGAAAGTTTTAGTCTGTGCATGCTACAGAATTTTAATGGAGCTAAACTCTCTCGATTGGCATATTTTGGTAAGCGAATTAAATTACCTAGCGTATTTTGGATAATTCATTATAAGAGTTTTCCAGGCGTGGCGTGGATGAGAATAGGAGGTTATTATTTATCAACAGCGTTCAACGAGATGCGACATAATAATGCACTTAAACTTTACTGTGTATGTGAAAATGTCTAGGATGCCTACGCGGCATATTTTCCCCTCAATTTCATTATTTAAATGTTATTATGACTAGGTGCCAGAAAAGCGCTCATCTGCTGTGAAAAATGACTGATTTTTATTTTCTGTCGCTACATTCCGCTACATTCTAATAGCCTTAGCCAATGTGGGTCTGCAATTCAGTAGTACAAAGAGATGTTGCCTTATCTGCTATCTAATATTCCTACGAGTATAATATCCTTCGATCTACTGCAAAAATCTGCAAATAGAGAATGACATTTCTGTTAAAATATTTGATTAATGAATATTTTACTTGCGACCAAACGGATAAGTGTACTTTATGATTAAGTTTCTCGTGCTTATTAGTATTGTGAGGACAAGACGTTGCAACTGTCTGTGACAGAATTGTGTGATAAATTCATTTTCATTTATAATCCTACTTGAAATATACTGTGAGAGTACCGCACAAAATGTATGACACTAGGGACCACACTGCAATTTGCAGAATTGGTAATAATATGTGTTGTACATTATGGTGCCATAATAAAAAGATTCCACAGGCAAATAGTTCCCTAATGAACAAATTTAGAGATATCGTCTTTGAAAAATTTGGAATACTTGTTTAGGACCAAGAAGTTACTGGGTTCACACATCTTTTTCACTATGCACGAAACCCAGATAAGGCCCAGTCTCGAATACTTCTCACATATTGGGGTGCTGCTGCTTCGACCACTCGATAAGCGCTGCCCGACTGATCGGTGAGACTTTTCTAACTTCGCGTTGATATGATTTGTTCATAGTAACTTTTTAAAAGCTTCCGAACAGAAATTGGCACTCCGAATTGGAACTCCCATCCCGGAACAGATGGCTCCTGGACTGGTAATGAAATACCAAACGGACCTTGGATGCGACGTTAAAGGCCGGGTCTGTGGGCTATTGTAGTCGCGAGTCATCATTGAAGCTCATCCTCATGCTCCTGTTTGCCCCACACCGTAACCGTCCAACTTATCTGCAAAGACTCTTGTGCTTTCTGCCGGTGACAAGATGAGCTATCGCTAGCGAGTGACCTGTCCCTCTTATCTACCCGCTAGCTTCTCTGATGGAAATGAAGAGCTGTTCCCAACCAGCGGCGTGCGTGATAATAATATCAACAAAAAGTAAAAGCCCGTCAATAAATGTTTTTCAAAAAATTTACTTTTTGCTTCACGTCTATACAAAATGGTCTCACGTGTCTATCCTCTAAATGAGGAAATGATGAACGCAAAATGAAAACAATATTTTTATATCGTCTCTTTTAGAATTTCATGACAGCTACTGACTATTTCACCTCTGATCTTTCGATATCCCCAACACATCTTACTCCAGTTGTCTTCTACGATTTAAAAAAAATGTCGTTCTGTCTATTCATGTGCTCCTTCTATTTTCTTGTTTATAAAATAGTTTCAACACTGTTAGTGAATACCAGGTGTGTTGGCGTACACAATAAATGGTTTCTCAGCGGACACACCGGTCGTCATTTAGATTTTTTTTTGACTTTTTAGAAAGGCGTCAAAAATTATAATTATTGAGAGGATTGTAAGCAGGAATTGAGGTCGACTCCTAAGTGAAATTTTAATCCTCAATTTCAACATAGATTTTCTTGTGTAATAATTTTAATTCGAGGACGGTTTCGTCCTGCGTGTTAAGTACAATAATTCAGCACTGTTTTAGAAAAGTATCCGGTAGACGTGAAGAAGCATTAGTATCCCTATATCGCAAATACTAGTGATTATAAAATTTTGCCGACGAATTTTGGAAAAATATCTTTGTTTGGGTGAGTGTTTCCGTTAGTGCATGGTTTATGATGAGCTATAGGGTATCGCAATATCGAGAATTTGTATTATTGCCAATATAATACAAATATATTTAAACGTTGCATTTAAAATAACGAATCCAATTACTTATATTCAAATTTTATTAAACTGTTTTGAAATTTAGAAGAAGTAGTGGATGTGTCATCTTTATTATATCTCTTAAATTGCTTAGGTCAGAGACTGTTGTGGCATATAAATGTTTGTAACACTGCGAGATGGCCTACAAAGCTCTGAAAAGAAAAGATCCCACGATTGCCCTTGCAATTTCGCCCGACACAAAGTGCGTGTATAAATGGGCTCTATTATTAACAGCTTTCAAGGTGTGTGCGTGTGTCACTCGACAGTGCTGGGAATCTTAGACGCAATAGTTTGTCTAGCAGACAGAGGATGCCCGTCTGGCTCTGCCCCTGCATGCAGCCCATTGTATTCGTGTTTCGCTTCACGAAGGCCGGATTTAATTAAGATAGTGGATAAGATCCGCTACCGGCGCTTTCCGCCCGCCCTTTTGCTGCCCCCATTGCCGGCCGCCCCCGGTCTTGGATTGCCGTTTTATATGTGCCGTGTCTGCCGTTTATAGCGGACTATGTTACCTGTGTGCGCTGCGATCTGCCTCAAAAAGGCCACTGCTTTATATTGTACCTCACCCTACTGTGGTTTTTTATTGCAGCAATCGTCTATCGCAGCGGTTGGTATGCTTCTCGACGTAGCTGATATATCTACTGGACAAACTACCTTCGTTGATTTTTTGGGCAAATGTTTGTAACCTTAATAGACCTTAAAAAACAGTGCTTAATATTCTGTCCTAGTGATGTAGCGAATGGCAATTTTTAGAAATGCAAATTCGAATATCTACCGTGGATACTTACGCATGCGAATAATAATCTATTTTCTCTATATACCACATCAAAACAGGAGAAGGAGAACACCCTGCAGTTTTTATTTTTGAGGTTTAATATCTCACAAGTTCAGCTTTGTTGTTACATTGCTTATGAAATATAAGAAAATGCAAATAAGTGTAGTAAAAATTCGTATTTTTTATTTCTAAAACGTTAGTAAGAAAGAATACGGTTTTTCTTTGTGTGAAGTTGTTTAGATAATTAAAGTTGCAGTCACACAATCTGACCTCAGCTTGCTTAGATTTTTTGCACTTTTTTAACAAGGCTCAGTTTAGCCAATCTCAGCTGAGCGAGATTTATCTCCACAGCATTTACGATAATTTTTTCTGCGGCCATCCACGTCAGCAAAGTACAAGAGTGCAAATGCCATTCTTTAGGTTCTGTCCTGATATGTGCTGGCTTAGGTGTTCTTTTTGGAATATGAAGTGACCCAGCTGGTTTGACAGCTTCATCTCTGTCTGCACTGCCTCACTTAACTAACAAAACGAACCAAATTTATGGTTTCTAATGAGAAATGAGTATCTGACAGTCTTTAGCACCAAGGGAAAAAGTTTGTCTAAATAAAAAACTATTTGTCTAAATAATAAACTGTTTGTCTATTAGTGCGTCTCTAACAAATAATAATATTAAAGTTATTTACATATAGAATGTGAATATCAAGATGCATGTAAATACTTGCGAATGCCAATGCGAACATTCGTTACCTCACTAATCTGCCTCCACATACGGTGCTTTTTATTACAGCCATCGTCTGTTGAGGCATTGCTGGTCGGTATATTTATTAAAGGCTTGTGATGATCTGTTGTGAAGTCCGCATGGTAGTGACAGCGGTTTTTTTTATATAGCAGGCTTAAAGACCAAAACACTACGCGTGGACGCGACATGCGTTGTCTTTTATATTTCGTTACATTGTTATGACGACAAACCATGAAACTTATTTCTGTTGGTTCTGTTAGTCTGTGATTCACCTGTTCCGTTATTATCGGCTCCTCTATAACTCGATAAGTATTCTTGAAGAAATTCTGACACAATGTTGCTATCATGTATGAACGAAACAGCTTCACGTTTGGAAATTCTTCCAATGGCAACGACGTTATAAAAACCAAAAGCACTACACCATCCTCACACTTCGTTTTCCTACATTTCTTGGGTTACTGACCATTATTTTGTACAATTAGAAAGTTCTGACACCCAGTGGCAAGAGTCAGATATTACGTTTTTTGTTATGTTATATTGCACACACATCACGAAAAACCATGTCACCCATTTCCACGACGCGGTGAGTGTCTGTCGGTCTGTCCGTTCGCTAATCATTGGCCCCTTGGAAAGTACGGTTGGATTTTGCTCAAATTGGCACAAGGCTACTATAATGACAGGGACGAAAAAGCTTTTTAATTTTTGAAGAGCGGTCCAATGGCGGAGCTCCAGGCAAAAAATAAACAAACTGAAAACCGTTAAAACTCTTGATTGTTTTGAGAAAAATTTTTGTAGCGACTAGTAATTGGTGATTGTATGGAGTCAATCTATTGGCATAACCAATATAGACAGGGTGAGTTTCTGGTGGGGGCTCGGTCGATAACTCCGTGATCACGAATGGTATCTAAGGAAGTTGTTTACAAAAATTTCACTCGTAAAACATTTTTTCTCTACAGTATGATTCATAACTGCGTGGTGACCCAAACATGCTATTTTGAATGAAAAGCCCTACATGCTGTTCCAAATTTGGATAATATATCAAAAAACAGTCAAATTTGACAACCTCTGCAACTGTTATAGCTCAGCACTGAATCTTTGTGTCGGAAAAATTTTATAATCTCATAATTTGTTTACTATTTATTTACGTTTTGAGGTTTAGGGCGGTTTGTACGACTGGTTTTTGAGTTTTTTTAAATCAGATATCAAGGGTGATGAAAAATGTTACAATGCCTTTGAAAATAAATAGCTGTCTCTAGTTAGTGACAATAAAGCCAAAAAGTCAAAAAGGTATCATTGTGCTTTTATTAAGACGAAACTAGTCGCTTAAATCCCCATAATCCT